GTCGGCGCAGATCCATCCGAGGTGCAGTTTTTATTACAATCAGACTCTTTCTTTTCATCTCTCTCTCCTTTCCCGTCTGACGGCATCGGGGAAGCCGAAGTGCTGGAATTCGGGCTGCCAGTCCTGGGAGTGAACGGCTGGCAGGTGGCGCTAGGCACACGGAAACCAGACTTCTCTCCGTTAGACACCGCAGAGGACGAGTCCTTCTTATCCGCTGGCTTTGAGTACGGCTTGAAGCTGGATTTGTCTTCCACGCCGATGTCGCTCATTTTTAAAGGACCAGATTTCGACTCTTTCTCGCTAGATCCGTTTGATGATACCGAGGAGTGTTTGGAGGAGGGTGGAGGGTCCGGTTTACCGATCTGAGAGCATGTTTGCGCAAGAAGAGCCAGAGGACTTTTCTTGGCGTCGAGCTGCGAGGATAGATACAAAGAAAAGAATTAGACACCTCAGATGTGTGCAAGCGCAATCGTTACGACGTATTTGTCACAATGCACAACAAATAAACTTCACTAAACGACTCGTCTCTTCTGTTTGGCCGTTTTACGCGATCCGAGAATGTGCGCATCGCGCAAAACGGGCTGGAATGGTAAATACCCCGTGCCAAAAGCGCGTTTACAGTCTAAGCTGAATTAAAGGGAAAATAAAATACTAGGTTAGCTATAAGGTTTTATTAATTTGATCAGTTCTACTCCGCTGCGTCTAACCCAAGAATCCGAGAAAAAGAGAATGCGGACTTGTCGCGTCTTACCTCAATCGGACTGATCGGGGTGGATGGCAACGGCTGAAGATATTCAGGGTGTAAAATGTGTCCTGTGCGTGCAGTAAGCATTTTCAAAATCTTTATGGGAAGTCGGTTAGCTTGCCGTAAAGGGTCCGAAGGAGGGACGGAATGGAGAAAAGGCTTGCTGACGAGCGCGGAGTTGTTATTCCTGCTGCTGCTGCTGCTTTCCCAGACTAGATCAGTATCACGATTTCTTGAAGCAGAGGGCGATGTGATCATGACCCAATTCTCATGTATTTTGTTGGTATTGCATTTATCAGATTCATAAATAAAAACTACGCCGTAATCTTCTTTCGAATAGCAGAAATACAGATAAATAGTATAATCCGTCTGGAGCAGAGGAGAGCGCGAGGCTATCTCAGATCCGGAGCCGCGTGTGACACTACAGGCATAGCGCGCGTTCTGTCTCTTCCCGTAGATCCGCGCGCTTGTCCTCCCAAACCAAGAACTGGTAGAAATGTTCACTTCAAAAGCAGCTGAATTAGTCCGAGATTAAAGCCCTTGCCGCCTTCCAATCAAATGGGACCCCGAGGTGATTGGAGGGTCAAGGGGATGTGACGTTCCTCCTTCTGCAAGCCCCTCTATTTTGACAACTTGGGGGAGGAGATTTTGCGCAATATGTAGGTTGTCGTACACGCCGCTGCCTCTGTCAAAAAACGAGATTTAAACAGCTCGTTATTCATTTCACGATTACCTTGGATTTGCCATCATTTGAAAAGATGAACTAAGTGTGAAAAACATCCTCTCATGGCGTTATTCTTTGTCTCTTTTGTATGGTTTTATAAGAGTAAGCCTTGCTTTTATTGATTATAATTAAAACCATCAACAAAAACAGAAATAAAAGATTAAAGTTTGTTAGATTCATTTTTTTGAATTCTACACCTGTTTGTATGAGGGACTACATTTTAGGAACCATCTAACCTTTTGATTGAATAGCCTACTTTTTTGTTTAATATGAAATTCTTACCAAATGTTGTGTGCGTTCAGTCTTTTTTAACAGTTAGCCTACGCCAACCTTATGCGAGTGGGCTGAAAAAAATCCAACCATAAACACAAGATCAACGTGTAGTGTTTGAATTCCCCAATCAGACAAGCGTTGACAAGAGCAGACCAATGCAGCGATAGAGGGACGTGAATGTCACATGTTTTCAATATAATATACACCGCCCTTCTATTTCTATCCCCACCCCTCCGTCAACTGTCAATTCTGCTCGACCGCAATCAATCAGTTATTTGTCAGTTGCTGTCAATCCTCTTCTTACTTCACGTCAGCTTTTGAAGCTGATTATGTGCCGCGAGCGACGGAGAAAAGGGCAAAAGCAGCATCCTGGAGAAGAGTCACTTCATTTGAGGGGCATATAGTTGCTCTGCTTTATTCGGTTTGGAAAGGTTTTAGTTTCAAACCTGCTGTAAGACAAGAACATATCCCCCGTGTTTAGCTTATTTTCAATTGAGGCAGAAATAGAAAATCAACCACTGGGCATTTATCCTATAGCCTAATTCGCTTTTTTTATTTTTATTTCTGAAGTACTTTTGACGACGTTTTTTAGCCGATTTAAATATGAACAATTAATATGCCATATAAATATTTTACTTCTAAAAAGTTCTAAAACAACACGAGGCAAATAATGATTTATGTTTATTTGCTTACTTTACAGGCTATAAAACTCGTAAGCTTTTTTTTCTTCTTCTCAAATTAACCAAGCATTTGCATGCTGTGAATTGCCTGTTGTCATATTGTACGTTCATTATCATTTGTTTAATTAGTTATTCATTTTGTTTGAACTTATTTTCTTCTACTGAATTAAAAAGAAAGAAAAAAGAAGTCGCTCTTCTGACTGCATGAGCAGTAAGACCGGTTTTAAACATGCTGAGACTAAGTTTCAGACAGGTGTACTTGATAGCTAGCCTACTTCAAATCACATTGTCCTTGTCTCACATGCAGTTTCAGGTTTTTCCGGATATATGTTTTTCACAAATGTGAACTTAGTATCACATTGCCTCGGGCAAAAAACAGCAAAACTTTAACTCACTTGGAATGTTAAAAGAGACGAGAATACAATAATAATAATAAAAAAAGTCCAGACAGTTTTTCTATTCATGTCAGCAATTTTATTTACACACAATAAAATCATTCACTTTATTTGACAACACCAAAAGACATAAAAAGAAAGAGAAATGGTCTGTCAGACCTTTGAGAAAAGAAGTTTAAAATGCCTTGAACTATTCACCGCTGAGACGGCTAATCAGTATTGAGGCTCCGGGGCAATCGGGCAGCTTTTCAATGCGCTTTGCCTTTCATCTCTCACTGGATGGAGGCGCTCAATTAAAAGCCTATCAGTTTGTAAGTAAATCAACGCCTATCAAAGTTGTCACATCAAACAAAACGATTATTATTGCAACCCGCCTCCACCATTAATCTCTTTCTGCGGTAATCCGCTTGACAGGTCATCTAGGAGAGCAAGAAAACCTGGAGTGGACAGTCATCAGCGTGAAAGAAATGTACAATTTGTTGGAGTATCTCAGACACACTGAAACAGATAAGCCTGAACTATGACAAACAATAAACTTTGCCCTATACTTGGCAATTAAACCCTAAAACGCGGTTTTATTTAATACGCTTAAATCTCGATAGCCTACCAACAACACCTCACCCCCTCTTCTTCATAAAAATAACATTGCTCAAATACATCTAACTTTTAAAATAAAATATCATTTTTATTGTAAAAGCCTATAAACCTATATAAGCGTGTGAGGTAATTATTCATCCCATCTCACGCTCTCGCTCTCTCTAAAAATCAATATTTACTGATTACATTAGGGGTTTTTAACGTGGTTTGCGTGTTCTAATATTTAGAAAGTTAGAATTATTTAGCCATATAACACACAGGCCTTGCTCGAAGACATGCACATTAAGTTTGCTTATAATTTTGAAAACCCTAGATTGTCAATTTGACAGAAATGGGGAAAAAAAATAATTTAGCAGCCTTTTCATTCTTGTAACATTACATACAGTTTTGAAAGTGCGAATAGTGGGAAGACTGCTGTATCACTCCCTTTGCTAATACAACACAGATTCAAACAGACACTAGTGTCGACATCGGCCATTTTAAACAAGATGAATGCAGAATCTTTCTTCAGTATGTAAAGATGTGTGACTGTTTTCTGCACAAGCTGTCAGCGCGCGACACACTGCGTGAGTTATTAGGGCAGAGAAGGGTAACCATAAATTTCCAGCATCGGGCAACAACCAAAAAAATCTCTTTATTGTCTGCATGACGAATGAGCTTCTGAACCAGATACCAAACACTCGGTATTACCCTTAAATGGGGGAAAAAAATTGTGGGGGGGACATAATTCATATTATTTAAATGCAAATGTATTTTAATATATTTCATATCGTCATGTTTATGCATGCCTAAATATAGTAATTTACAGAGCTGCCTAAAGCAGCCGAAAACACTTGTGCAAAACATTCTCTGTAGTCAAAGTTGAGGACGTTACAATTGCTCAAAATAAACAATAACGCATTTCACACTGACCAAGTTACAAATTAAAATTGAAAGGGTTGCAGACATTAAGTTGATGGGTAAAGCAGCTTAGTCAAAGTAAGCAACACAAAAATCAGTTCCAATGCAAAATACAGTATTTATTATATTTTAGTGCTTAGAAAAACTCACATAAGTACACTGCGGAAATCCAACTCATATTCTTTTAACAGAAAAACTGCGTAACGTTAGGCTACAGCGCGTTTTAGTCCGCGTCCTTTCTTTCGAAGCATCTGTGAAAATAGCCAGAATTCAAAAAACGGCTCTTCCTTCACAAACGTTAAACATGCATTAGCTACAAAGCACTTCCTATCATTAACTTTGGTAAAAGAGACCACAATGAACCATTTTACCTGAAATTACACAAACGCGCTCCGATGCGTTACGACAGGTATGAACATTTACAGCACAATCCTTTTATTTTCTATAAAGATGATCATTTAAATACACTTCCAGTGACGTCCTATGAAGCACAGTTTAGCAGCCTAAATAAGTAAATACTGTATTCTGGTGCGCTCCCGCGAGCATAAGATGCGAGATCCTACTCGCCTCCACACTCACCGTCTGCGCGACGCGACGCGTCCGAAACTTCCGCGGTGACGTCACGGCGTTTCTGCGTCTCTCACCATACTGCTTGCCCTGTGAAACAACGCTTTAATGTGTTATTTTAACTCTACGCTTTGTATGAACACACGACTGGAACAGTTAAATATGATTATCGCAATTATAATACAGTGAAAATATGACCTTTGAGTTATTATGCGTTGTATAACACTTTAAACACATACTTTACCAATTTGCCTCAACTTCCAGTGATTAAAACTGTTACTTTTTCAAACGAGAGCTGTCTGTATTGCTAGCAGCAATGCTACTCGCCATTGTTTTCATGGAAACATGCTCGGGAAGTTGTTATGAGCAGCTGAAACAGATTTGAGCAGTGGCGCGTGCTTCCGTCCTAGATCAGCTGACATGAGCACGCGGAAGACGTAAAGCTTCATTCGGAGCGTAGTTTAAAAGTTTATTTTGAAAACATTAAGAACACTTTTCAGTCTTATGAGCTGAAAAACTTTTGTGGTGGTCCTCGTTTGATGCGTCTCTCCTTCTGAACTGTCATTTGATTACAATGGCACACAACGAGTCAATGGTTGTAGTGAATGGAAGTCAGGTAAGTGAAATGCTGCAAACGCGTTGTCCTGTGACCTGTGTTATGTATTTCACCAGAAGACACCAACGCCACAAAGTGTGCGTTTGCTTGTTTGTTTTTTTGTTTTTTGTCGAGTCATGCAGTGTCATGTTGGTAAATCTATTTTCTGTGTCGCTCTAGTCAAAAGTATTATTACAAATATTTATTATAAACTGCTTAAATTGTTGTTGACTAACAAGATAACAGTGGTTTCATTCACACAATAGCTGTATGTGAATTATTAACTGTCACAAACATATTTTAAATCTCCAATGTAATGTTTAAGTAGTCTATTTCTTGAAAGAACAATAATTCAGAGTACCAGCTGTGCAATAATACTTGTATCTTTTCCTCTCTGTGTTGCATTGATGCAGGTGTCCTGCATTGGGCATGACTGGGAAGACATTCCATCCTGTGACCTGTGTTATGTATTTCACCAGAAGACACCAACGCCACAAAGTGTGCGTTTGCTTGTTTGTTTTTGTCGAGTCATGCAGTGTCATGTTGGTAAATCTATTTTCTGTGTCGCAAGACAGCTCTAGTCAAAAGTATTAGTACATATATTTATTATAAACTGCTTAAATTGTTGTTGACTAACAAGATAACAGTGGTTTCATTCACACAATAGCTGTATGTGAATTATTAACTGTCACAAACATATTTTAAATCTCCAATATAATGTTTAAGTAGTCTATTTCTTGAAAGAACAATAATTCAGAGTACCAGCTATGCAATAATACTTGTATCTTTTCCTCTCTGTGTTGCATTGATGCAGGTGTCCTGCATTGGGCATGACTGGGAAGACATTCCAGATTTTCTTGGGGCAAAATATGGAGAAGTGGCAAGAAGATTAGATCTCAGCTTCAACCAACTGAGGTAAGTTACTGTTTGTGTCCGAGTGTAACTCTTAACAGGCCGTGATAATAGAAGGTCCGCGATGATGGGAGACAGCGATGACAAGCATGGCACCTATTATGCACATACTAGATTCCCATATGGATCTGAGAAGGGAGAGGCATCATTTTTCCCATGGGTTTTGCAACAGGACTATGGCCCACATTATCATCTCTGGAAAGACTGAGAATCATCATTTATAGGTCGTTTTTGTATGCCATGTAGTTTTAGTACACTTCTGCACTTTAAAAGTGTTGACCGCAGATGTTGGCAATGCACATAAAAGGATTCATATCATATTTCGCTATTAAATATGTAATATTAGGCTCAAATTGGTTGAGAAAGCCCTTGTGTGAAGGATGTTTCTATCTTGTGAAACATTCTAGAACATTGTCTTAAATGACAGGATCTTAACCGCATACAATATCTCGGAGTCAATCTAAGTGTCGCGCATACAGTCACACCTCTGCATTAAGTGCAATTTAATACATGCATTATGTGCATTACTTCATCAGCCATGTCATTGAGACATCAGAGAACAGCGGGTACAGTAGCGGCGTGCCATGCTGTGGCCAGATAAAAAGCCTGATCAATAAATGTGACATGGTAATGCTAAGCAAATAGAATAAAAGATTCCTTTGACAGGACATGAAGAAGCACCTTGTGGCAGCTGGGGAGGGGGATGCCATTTCACCAGCAGAACTAGCAAAGCTGATCTGACAACTAAAAGAGAGGAGATGATGGTTATAAGGTGCTTTTGTTTCAGACTTCTTTTCTTGACCTGTCAGGTCTTGAAGGACTCTGAATGGGCCTCTTTTTGTCATGTGAAAATTGTCGTCTTGTGGCAGTTATCTGTGTTGAAAATGTGGATTCTTCCATTTAATTGATTCGCTTTGCACTGGAGTCTGTCACATTAATAATTGCCAAATCCTGTGCTGCTTCAATGTGTCGCACATAAATGTACGCTTATCGGCGCATTAATATTCCTAATGAGCATTTGTGACTGGTGACCTGGATGAAAACTGTAGAACCCAGAACTATCGATATTCAGGTGTAAAATTTTGTCTTTTTTTGTCACATACATAATATGGTCAGCTATCATATGCATAAATTATATCAAGTGCTAACGGACAGATGTACTCGTTTCTTCAGTCTTCATCGGACATCTACAGCATGTATTCACAAAGTTAGTGGTTTGTCTTGATGTTTGTTCTTTAATGCAGTGCTATTTATTGCATCAGTTTCTTCTGTAATATTTCCTAATAGTTTCACCATACACATAGTAGTGAAATATGCAGCATTGCTGCAGATAGAATCGCTTGCACTGTGGTTTATTGCCTTTGCTGAGCCATTATGCTATCATCAAATCACTTATAACTTTTTATGTATAAGATAATTACCAGAATAGTTGGGAACATCGATAGGCTATTAATGGGAATGCTTTTCTAGAACAATGTCATGTTCGTTGTCTTTCCATTAAAACACTGCAGGATTTACATAATCGATGTAGTGACGTGCACGCAGAAGAGTGAGGTTTCACCACTTATGTCTTAGAATAACCCCAGTCTTGTTCACTTATAATCACACTCCCAATAAAGATGATTTTTAGCAACAGGGCTTGTCAGCAGAGAAAGCCTCCCTCTCTGACATCTGTATGTACATATCAAACGCAGAACGCTAAAAAGCTGGCTCTGAAATCATTTTCTTTTTTACCACTTCAAGGAGCCTTTGAGTAGAACAGAAGGTTCTGTCACTGAAGCTGTTTTGGTCATATGCTTTGTTGGGGTTAGGGTTACATTCAGTGTGAAATTTAATTTATAAAGAGGCATGTGATCAGAATAAAGTGATGATGTGGCCTACAGTCAGGATTTCTCTGCTTCTTCTGCCATGTTCACACAAAGACCCCACAGTAAGAAGTTAATAGACAGACATCCTGCCCTCTGGCATGAGGACTTAAATATGTGAACATGACAAAGTGATGGAAAGGTTCTTTTGTTGTCCTCGGGGCTGCCACAAGACAATCTGGGTCATCCAGAAATGAAGATTTATACGGGATGTGTCACGGTAGTTGACTAGTCATCTAGCTTGACTAGTTTTAGATTCTTAGATTTTATTTAATTGGATTTTTTTAGCAATAGTTTGCAAGGTAAATCCCTCTCTGATTAAATTTTTTAAAGGGATACTCCACCAAAAAAATTATTTATTTTTCTTCTATGGAACTAAAAGAAGATATTTTGAGAAATGTCTCTTTTTTTTTTTTTTCCTTTTTTTTTCAAGGAGCCTTTGAGTAGAACAGAAGGTTCTGTCACTGAAGCTGTTTTGGTCATATGCTTTGTTGGGGTTAGGGTTACATTCAGTGTGAAATTTAATTTATAAAGAGGCATGTGATCAGAATAAAGTGATGATGTGGCCTACAGTCAGGATTTCTCTGCTTCTTCTGCCATGTTCACACAAAGACCCCACAGTAAGAAGTTAATAGACAGACATCCTGCCCTCTGGCATGAGGACTTAAATATGTGAACATGACAAAGTGATGGAAAGGTTCTTTTGTTGTCCTCGGGGCTGCCACAAGACAATCTGGGTCATCCAGAAATGAAGATTTATACGGGATGTGTCACGGTAGTTGACTAGTCATCTAGCTTGACTAGTTTTAGATTCTTAGATTTTATTTAATTGGATTTTTTTAGCAATAGTTTGCAAGGTAAATCCCTCTCTGATTAAATTTTTTAAAGGGATACTCCACCAAAAAAATGATTTATTTTTCTTCTATGGAACTAAAAGAAGATATTTTGAGAAATGTCTCTTTTTTTTTTCTTTCCTTTTTTTTTCTTTCCGTATGGTAGAAATGAATGGTCTCCATTTTTGTTCGGTTTACAATATTCCTCAAAATGTAATCTTTTATGTTCCACAGAAGAAAGTCATACATTTTAAGAACAGCATGATGGTAAATAAATGATCATTTTCATTTTTGGATGGGGTATCCCTTTAATTCACCCTCTTTAAAACATTGCTGCTTCAGACATACACGTGGAGACTGACATCTTTGGCCACTGGTGGTGGTTAAGGAGATTCCCCCCTTTTATGTAAAGCGCTTTGAGTGCTCAGAAAATGTGTTGTGTTATATTAGATTATGTTATGGATTGCATCATGATGTCTTAAGTGCTACCTGTAAAGATCAGTTAATAAAGTCAAATGTTCAGTCATGATTTTTATGAGTTATTGTTTTGAAAACTTTCATAATGGAAGTTAGATGTTCAGTAAGAAGACATAGTCATCATCACAGTGATGTACCACAGTCCAAAACCATGTGCACATATGCAGGCTGTGTTACCTGACGTGAGAGGTGTCAGAGAGAATCTCTGCGAACACACATGTGAAATCACATTCAGTTTATCAGACCTTTCACAAGGTGCCTTTTGTGTGGTTTTTAACGTTGAGTCGGTATGAGGTGAAACGGTACCTTTCTCAAGACTAGCCATGAAAAGGTATCAGATCATAGACAGGAGTAGTAATCCCAGGTCAGGGATTGCTGTCAAAGTGTCCCCTCCAGTGTCCTAGACATGCATGGCTTTGTAGGGAGTGGATGGTGAAAGCAAAGGGAATACTATTGTCTTGTCTGGTCCTGTCCAGATGAGGGGTAAACATGATGGCCCTCAGTCATGTAGAGGAACGAAGCAGCCATGAATTCCTTCTCCAGTGTCACTTTCTGTCTAGGAGGTCTGACAGTCTGTCTGTCATCAGATTCAGCTTATTACGCCACCTTACATATGAGCCAACAGCCAAATCAAGGAGAATATATTTCAAAGGGAAACTGTTATAAGTTGTATAAAGCTTGAATGTAAAAGCCAAGCATCCAACAGAATTTAAAATGATGCTCATAACTGCACCGCTGGACTCAAGTTCTTGAAATTTGAGAAGGGTAGTTATCCAATGCATAAGAGTTTCCGCATTAAAACCTGCACTCACCTGCGTATACATCTTGAAGGCAAATCAAATATGCTAACTTGCATTTTCAAATGGAGCCGCTTTAAATGTAGACAGCCTGTCACAATGAGACACAAGTAGTCTGATGAAAACGGAACAAAGAAGACAAAGTACGGTGGCTGGGTACACCGAGAAATGAAATATAACCTTGTATGGACTGTCAGCAATGTCGTTTTATATTCATGTCTAAAGCACATTATAGTATTACACTCCAGCTCATGCTTCACTCATCTGTCTCTCTTCATTCGTCACGGACGAGACTTTGTCTTTCAAGCCCCTGCGCGCCAACACCAGAAGGCTCCTGTTAATTGACAAATGAGAGCCTGCGACATGAAGTGCTACTTCAACATCAGAGCAAGGTGGAGTCTCTTTTTTTGATGGGGCTATTATTGGCATAAGCCAGTAAAACGCATCGCTCTTCGCCGAAATGAGAAGTGACAACAGTAGAAGGGCCTGTCATTGTCTTCCGGGTGTGTTCAATCTGTGGCTGTGCCAGTATGTAGATAAAATGTCAGTTAAGAGTACGAAGGAGAAACTGTCGAAATGAAGTCGTCAAATCACTTAGCCCGCAGAGGGTATGGAAATTGATGCTTTTGTGGAAATGAGAATTTTCCATATCTGATCTATCAGGCTTATTTAGCGCTAATATTTGGGAACAGCCCGGACTGTTTGGCTTGCATTAGAAGAGGATGCTGCGTTCCTTTAGCCCTGTCTAGTTTGTTAGACGGGCGCAAGTGGCGGAAATGGAATTTATGCAATTTCATTCAGGGTGCCGCTCTTATAAATCAGCTATGAAGCAATAAAATCTCATTTAATTTCTCCGAGCAAATTTGTACCTCTGTGATTGCTTCAAGAGAGGATGAGCTGACAGGCAAAATTGTGAGAATACAGAGAAACCATTTTAGATGCATTATAGTTGACATGTTTGTTACTTGCTGCTTTGCTAATGGATAATTTAAATAAGTTTAGTGTGTGGTGGTTGTGCGTCTTTGTTCCAC